ACTTCTGCCGGGGGTCCGGAGACCCACACCTTTTTTTTTAAATCTGAAACTTTTCTGATTTTTTGTTAGTAGATAATTGTTGATCTTTATTTTTTTTAATATATGATAACATTCACTGAAAAAAATTTTTGTTAAAAAAAGTTACCTACATCGTTATCTTCTTTAAAAATATTACATGAAAAATGACGTGAGAAATGATTCATATGATTTTTAAAGTAAAAATCGCGTAATTAATAAAAAAATAGTTATTTTATAGAATCCGTATACTAGATTTTAATTAACGTATATTACAAAATTTCAATTTAAAACGTTTAGTTATTAAACGTAGGCATTGTAACGATTAAAAAAATTGTAGTATTATAAGAATACAAATCATTTTTTGTAAGAAATATTTCTCATTCTTAATTGCAAATGATTATTTATGTGATTATTTGGTCAATACTGTCACATAAAAAATCACGCGAATCATCACGTGATTTTTCACGTGATTTAATCCCAAGATATTTTTAAAGTGGGTGAGCCTGAGAGCAGTCATAAAAAAATGGGATGACTGATAAGCGTAATAAGTAATGAATGTTTTTTATGCTGGCAAAATTATGTAAAGTCATTTTTTTTCTGCTGTGCATTGTAAAGAAAAAAAAAATAACGAGTCCCCGCAACTTCAAAATAAAAATAAGTCAGTTATTCTTATAATATTAAGGTGTCAAAAAATATACATTTACTTTTCATAAGCCTCCAATTTCAAGTATTTCACTTTTTTTTTATTAATATATTACAAAATTATAATTGCAAAATTGTGCATGTTTATTCATACTGATGTCTACTAATTTCCATGAGATTATATTTTTTGTATGCAAAGTAATTAGGAGCGATTGAAATAAGACATACTGCTCGCACAACTTCAACTACAACTGCAATTTCCGGATTTTTGAGATTTGTTTTATTTCCAGGGTTCTTGGTAGCAATAATTGCAGCCAGCTCTTTAATCACTTCAATCCTTTGTAAGTTACTATTGCTGTGTCGGCTGAAGAAAAAAAATATAATTAGCATAAAAAACTAACAATGACAAATTTTTTCATTAAAGGCATATTACTTTACGACAATGGAAAATGTTTTTGGTTCCTGAGCAAAATATTGCTCAAAAAGTGCACTTGCTTTAGACTTAATGTCGTCTATATAAGCTTTACAAGCTATTTGAACAGGCAGCATTCGCAAAAGGTATTTTGTTTTCGGTTTCTTGGATTCTTGCAAATCTTTAATAATAGTTGTTACAAGATTGATTGTATCAGGAATCGTACTTTTAATGAATATTATGTTATTCACGCCAGTATCCACTACCTAGAATATTTATAACAGCAGTAATGTAGATGTACAGCTTACTAATTAAAAATGATACAAATGTCAAGGCTACAATAAGTTATATAGGGGATATGTTTGTTTGATATCTCCAGTAAGGTATGCGGCCTAAATTACACGTCTGCAGAAAACAGTGACGAATTGCGAACTGTGTCAAAGAAAGTTATCCACCCTGTCTTAGTTCGATTTGTGCAGAAAAGGTTTATTGGACTGCATCAAAGAAATTTAACTTATTCTGCACGAGCGCTGGTAGTGCATCGTTCACATGGAGCCGAGTAGTTTCTATAATACTGCTTCACTCGTTTGCTACGCTTACAAGTGTGTTCTAAACAAAATCTCATCGTTTTCTCGATGAAAATATTGAGTAAACAACAATTTTTAATTTTTGGTACTAAATCCCGTTACTCTCATTCGCTGTTTCATTTACGCAGCAACTCTACTCGTCTACATTTAAACCATGCACTTAACGCTCTCAAGGGATACGAATAGAGCGGTGGTAGTGGGGGAACTTTTTTTGACGCAATCTGCAATCCATGATTTTTTTGCAGACAAGCAATCGCAGTCTAAGAAAAACAGGTGACCCGAAGGCCCATATTTCTACACAGTCTGGCTGAGCGAAGATTATATAGAAGTATCTCTGTTAGTTAACAGAGGGATTCGGATCAAAAAGGTACTATGTATGTTTTAGAAAGATTATATACAAATGCAAACATTAAACATATATACTAGTGGGGCTCCACCTCCCTGCGCTTTTCATGCGTCAACCCTTCATAAATTTTACTATCATTCACTTTTTTATTATTAAAAAAATCTGATAGCTAAAAATAACAAACACTTACATACAATTTCAAACATAGAGAATCTTAAAAAAAAAAAAAAATAATTATTTTCTGACATCAAAACGGTCGACAATAACAAATGTAAAATAAACCAGTAACATTGAAGTGTGATGCTATCATATTTTTAGATTTTAGTTTACCATAAAATTATGATCTCTGCGTATGCACGAAGGACTTACTGAAAAATTATCCTAAATAAATATATTTAAATAAACTGTCCCATTTTGTCACTCCTATGGTTTTCCCGTTATAGTTTTTATTAGGAGACTTGAGATATAGTGCAAATTATCCATAAGTCTTAAAATTAATTAAAAGATATTAATAAACAAATGACTCTTTTACAGTTCATACAGTCTATCATACAGATTCATCAATCAAAATTTCAGTCCTTTTTTTGTATGCCGGAAAATGAGCTCAACAATCTTTCGTACATGCTTACGTTATGGTAAAAATAATAGTTTCTTTTGGAAATGAGTGAGAATATTTGGTTAGTTTCTAAAATTTTTTTCTAAATTATTGTAAACAACAAAAAAAGGAAAAATTAAACAGTCATAGTTTATTGTAATACGTTAAAACGAAAAGCTATTTTAGATTTTGGCGTAAGCAAACTGAATGTTTAGATTAAATAGTCCTACATATCAGTGATAATTTATTTTAAAATGTATAAAGTAAGTAACACAAATTTTATTTCATTTTTATTAAATACTTTAGCAGATACTTGTCAACATTTTTAATTAAGATCCAATACATCAACAGATGATTGTTGTTGACCCATTTTAAATGTAAATATTTACTATTATTTTTAATAAAAAACTATATTTAATTTAAGAACATTAAGTTTTATAAGGATGCTTACTTTTTGAATGTTTCCTACTGATGGGCCTCCTTAAAACATAATTTCTAGAAAAGCATTTACCACATTTTAAGTCAATTTTTTTCGAAATCAGTTGAGATTCTTTTTATGTCAGTAGTTATTTCGATACAGTAGCCAGTCCCAACTAACTCTCACCACCTAGACTGGTGAGACTTTTCTGATGAGGCACGGTATTGCTGTACACTTACTGGGAGGGAGTACAACGATCCCCTCCTTTCACAGTCCTTCTCTCACCACCGCTAAGATTACCTGGACCCACTTGCATACATGTATGTATTTTATTCTTAAATTACTTAATTACCGTATAAAGGTAGAGTGAGAGAAATAAAAAGTATTAGAGAGTCCTCGTCATAGTATTGATTTAGCTTAGGGTTCTAATTTAAACGAGAATGGTGATTACACTATAGAATTCAAAAAACTGTAATCAGCTTATTGAGTCTTTTACGTAGAAATGGGTACCACTGTCAACTTTCTTTGTTAATGCGATTTGCGTGGCATACGATCTTTCCGTCAGAGTCATCACAGAACAGTATTCTGTTGTGAGGTATAAAATGCAAAAATTGCTGAAATTGTGTTTTTTTTTCAATAATGACCGTTTCGTACAAGATTTTTTCATTCAAGCAGTCCATCCAAGATTTCAGGCGTCCAAAGTTATATACGTATGTATGCGCACATGACTGTTAAATGCACACTGTGCTAGTATACATGTATGAAAGTAATAAGAAACCCTTTTTGCGTAAAGATGGATAATTGCATTAAGTTAGACATTTGATTGTTCGAATAAAATACAAAAACTTGCAAAAGTCGTAGTTTTCTTTTTAATAAATATCGTGTGATGTAGAATGCACTCATGGAGTCTCAACGTATTACAAATGTTTACAAGCCACACATTCGTACAACGTTTGGTAGCGAGTGGAGTCACAATTTAGGATTGTTATCGATAAATGTATTATTTTAAATGTTGTACATTCTTGTACTACAGTGTCAGATGAGAAAAATTAATGACGTGTTTAAACGCAGACTTTTTAACAACATATTGATTCTCGAAACAGTTGTTAAAGCAGCCAAACAAACAGTCGACAATTAGGACTCTCTGGCAAAAAAGTTAATATGATGTTACTGCAAGTTTTTTTCATTTTACCTATGAAAATTGTTTTTTATATTTCTTTTTTTTCATAAAAGAACTTGTTATAGTATTTAGACGTATGCATGAAGATATATCCAGAGATGAGCTAATAATGCAGTTCGTCACTTCAGCTACGAGAGAAGGTGAACAGAGTATACAATGCATTTTATTTAAATAATAATTGATTGTGACCCCGATTATTTTTTAATGGATGAACAAAAATCGTCGTTGAGCAGAGCCGACAAAACTGTACATTAAGATGTTAGAGATGATGGTAAGTAACAAAATTACTTATATTTTTTATCTAATAATCATATTTAAAATTACTTTTTACGTATTAACTTTTTAAATAAGGAAAATAGTAATGATTCTATTACTAGTAGTAACAGTAGCAGTAGCGGTAATAGTACTAGTAGCAACAGCAGTACTGACACCATTAGCAGCAGCTACACTGATACGCTACATAAAATTCAGTATTATTATCACTTGTATTGATTTTTTGTAAAAGTCATTACAGATTTTCATTAACAGTATGGAGGGAGAGAGCCTCCAATCTTTATTCTCGAGTCTGAAGTTGTGAGACATTATTGTAGCTTTAACTATGAAGGACGAGAGGTGCATGGACGCTTGTAAAGACAACCACCAAACGTTAACGTGTATACCTGGCTAGAAGAGTATTGCAGAGCATATTTCTTAACGATTGTCTGAAATCTGTGCAAACGCCGGGTACAACGATAAGTCGACTTGACGCAGAAGTGAACGACATCTTGAATTTATTGTATACCGACAAGCGAGAAAAGTGGAAGAAATATCAACAAATTTTACAATGGTATTTGCACCTTAGGAGATTGGAAAGCAAAAGAAAACGAGATGCTGATATGATCACGGTAAACACCAAGACATCACAAGATAACAATCTTTCTGACAAAAAAAAAATTTCGTTAAAAAGTTGCAGTCATCGTACGACGATTGGGTGCTACTGGTAACTTTGAGTGGAGCAATAAACATACCCTTATTATAAGTGGCGTTCGCATACCACAGTCAAGCATAGTCAATCTGTTGAACAATGGCTTGAGGGATAGAAAAAACGTTCATTGGTAAGACGTGATCACTTTGCAGTGACACTTCGTATGGCAAAAATCTCACAAAATTATGTCAGAAACTCTTGAGCATTAAAACTATAGATTGACGACGACGACGACGATAAATCAAAATCGCCAAAGAAGAGTCCAAGACATACGTAGGAGTTTTTTAGATGAAAGTGGTGCTGAATAAACGGCTTCACCAAAAAATAATTAAAAAAAAAAAAAAAAAAAAAAACAAGTTGTGCCTCTGACAAAACAAGAACGGACATGGCGTTGGTTGAACGGAAAAGTGCCCAAGGTAAAAAAAACAAGTAAAACTCAAGAAGAAAGAAAAAACAGTGTTTTAGACGCTGTAATTGACTAACTAACGTTTAAAATGCATGTACTTGGATACAAATATTGCGATGCTGGAGCAAAGCTATCGAAGCGCATTGAGCACCATGATGTGGGTATAAATACCTTAGACGAAGCATGTCATCAGCACGGCCTTGCCTACGCTACGAAGAAGAAGGGGGAACGTCTAAAAGCTGATCAGGCGTTAGGTGAATTGGCTTATTAACGTACGTTTGCCGCAGAAACACTGCTAGATAAGCAAACAGTTGCTTTATTGACAGCATGCTGCAAATGTAGCAAGATTACAGTACATTGAAGAGTTTTTATCACGGTCCAAAAAAACTATTGCATCTCAATCTAAAAAGGTAAAGAAGAAAAATAATAATGCATAATACTTTGCAAAACCTTTACTAAGAAGCTACGCGATAAACTACATGTGCAGGTGGTAACAAACTCGCGAGTGCTATAAAAAAATTAATTTTTGCGATCGAACGTAATCAGTTGGTTAAAGAGTCAAAATTTCTATTATTTACATAGGCCCATAAAAAATCGTTTTTCCAAAAGAAGCTATAACGTGCATAACTTTGAAGACATGTAGAAAGCTGATTTAATGAACTTGAGAGCTTTAAAAACTTACAATAATGGATACGCTTATATTCTCGTTGTCATCGATGTCGTCAGCAAATACGTTTAGGCGGTACCTATCGAGGATAAAACGTCGAAAA